GGCGGCTCCGGGCGGGAGAAGGAGGAGGAGGCGGGGAGCCGCTGGATGGGGGGAGGAGGAGGCGGGGCGGGGATGGATAAGGTTTGACGTGGGGCTGGGGTTGTTTTCTTCGGTTGCAGTTCGGTGGAGTTGACGCGGGGGGCTGGTTCGGGTGTTATCAGAATAAGCGATTTGGTGTGCAGAATAAGACTCTTAAGGGTGTTATTAGAATAGACCCACCCTATATATATATATATATATATATATATATATATATATATGTGTATTCCGAAAGTTAGCAGTCGTTGGCTTCAGCCCCCACGCATACAATGCGGGGGTGTTCACAAAAAATATGCATAATCACACTTGATCCAATGTCTTGGTCCATTAAGGAGGTGATCACACGTCGAACTAGGCAACCGGACTATATAGCTGTAACACTTTCGCTTAGCCATGGGAGTCTAACTGCGGGGCTACTATGTAGCCGCTGGTACCTTCGCATGCATCCGAATACGGGCGCGTGTTTACATGACCGGGAAACGGTCCTTCGTTAATGCGGAGGGATCCTAAAGATTCCGATGAGTCTTCGAGTGGTTGAACAGTCTCTCGCTGTATCATGACAGTCAGTTTTCGGCTTTCTCTACTGAGGTGCTCATCCGGAATAACCAGGGCACAATCACAGTAGTTCTCCTTTGGCCGCCTTAGCCGATAAGAACGGAATGTAAGGCGGCAAACCAGGAGCCGGGCAAACCCAACATTTGACCAAAGACATGATTCGGAGTTGATGCATATAAGGCGTTACTCGTGACGCCAAACACTCCCGAAGGTATTCGGACTTTGTAACAGAAAATGGGCTGAAGAATGCCCTTTCCTTATAAACCCCGTATTTCCAGGTACGTGCATTAGTCTGTCATGGCGAAATGACAATAATGGCAGTATCCTCTGTGGGTATGAAACCCATGGGATGTTTAAACAACAAGAGGCAATAAAAAAGGTTTACACATGGGCTTAATCTAAAGAGAAACCTTTTGAGCGGGGCCCTGCTGCACGTCAGCGCCTTTGTCTCCGTGTGCCATATCCTGGAAGGGTATCGCGCGAATGTTGTCTGTAAAAAGGAAAACTTGTGTAGGAGAGTACAACGTAAGTATGCGATGGATAGTAAAAGTGTAAGACGTTGGCCTGCCAATAAGGTTGAGCCAAGTGTGGGCCTATATTAAATATTTATAGCCCCTACTGTCCTCTATGGGATTACATATACGGTGCCCTGGTTCAGTTTTATCCGGGCTGCCGGACTCGTCTAACCGTGTGTGTGGTCTTAATGACCAGTCATAATTTCTGATATTGGAGGCCGCTTATAGTCCGGCCGCTAGGGCCGTCGCGTGTTCCTCTACGCGTGAAGAGCGACCTGTGTTTCCATTAACGGTGATGACACCACGTGGACCGGGCATTTTGAGTGTAAGGTAGGCATAATGCGGTAATGCGTTGAAGCGGGCGAAGGCCGTTCTTCCAAGCAATGCATGATAGCCGCTTTGGAAGGGTGTGATGGTGAAGAGTAGTTCTTCACTTCTGGAGTTGCCTGGGGAGCCGAATGTTACCTCCAGTACGACGGAGGCCCTGCCGTAGGCATCAACGCCTGGTATTACCCCTTCAAAGGTGGTGTTGCCTTGGCTAATTCTAGATGGGTCTATCCCCATTCTGCGGACAGTATCCTGGTATATTAAACTGAGACTACTACCGCCGTCCATAAGGATGTGGGTGAGATGGTATCCGTCGATTATTGGGTCAAGCACCAAGGCCTCTGATCCTCTGCACCGAATACTAGTCAGGCGGTCCGTGTGATCGAAGGTGATCGGACAAGTCATCCAGTAGTTAGGTGTGGGTGCGATGGGCTCTATAGCATACGCGTCTTTGAGCGCGCATTCGTGCCTTCTCGTGGATGTGTGAGTCGCGTGGATCATGTTTACTGTTTTAACCTCTGGTGGGAATTTTTTCTGTCGCCTAGTGTTTGGCTAACGAGGTTCATCCTCGTCTTCACTTGATGTTTCCCTCCCCTTGTGTTTGGCATTTAATTTGCCGGCCTGCTTGAAGACCCAGCACTCTCTGTGCGTGTGGTTCGCAGGTTTGTCGGGGGTGCCATGAATTTGGCACAGTCTGTCCAGGACTCTGTTTAGACCGAACGGTCCCTCTTTACTGCATTTGAGTGGCTTCTTTTGCTGATCGGGTCGAGAGCCCTTGAATCCGGCGTTAACCGTTGTGTTGTCCGGGTTCTCGTCCTTGTTTTGACGTTTGTTTTTATTATGCCGTGGCTTCCCGTTGCCATCCCTTATCTCGGATGTGCTGGGATTGTTGGTGCCTTTACGGGCCAGCCAGCTATCTTCACCCGCGCAAAAGCGGGTCATAAGGCTTTTTAAGGCTGCCATTGTCCTTGGCTTTTCTTGGCCGAGGTGTCTGGCAAGCCACTCGTCCCGGATGCTGTGTTTGAATGCCGCTAAGGCTTCGGCATCCGGACAATCGACAATTTGATTCTTCTTAGTGAGGAATCTGTTCCAAAGCTTGCGGGCGGACTCTCCGGGCTGTTGGATTATGTGACTTAAATCGTCTGCATCCAGAGGCCGGACATAAGTCCCTTGAAAATTGGCCCTGAAGGCGTCCTCGAGTTCCTCCCAACTCCCAATTGAATTTTTGGGGAGGCTTTTCAACCAATGTCGAGCTGGTCCCTTTAATTTGAGGGGAAGGTATTTGATGGCGTGGAGGTCATCCCCTGGGTCTATTGTTCCGTCGTATGCCTCTATATTCACAGGTTTAAAGCCCTATGGAAATTCATGGTCCAGTACTTCTTCAGTGAAGCACGGGGGCTGAGCATCCCCTCTGTATCTGGATGTGCTGTGGCATGCCGTCGGGTGTTGTTGTGTCCGGTGTTTATTCCGAACTGGTATTTGGTTGGTATGATCGTTTTTGTGACCATAGTCCCTTGCCGGGGTGTGTCCTTTAGATCCGTAGATGGACCTGGCCGCGCAGGCTTTCTTATCCAGGTGCTCACGTAAATCGTGCGGCGTCGGTAGCTGCTCTGTTGCGGTTACGTAGTGGTATGTCCGGCCTACTTGTTCTGTTGTTATTTGGTGGAACAGCCTCGTCGTCGAATTCTGGCAGTAGCTTGCATTTTGGATAGCTCTTTGTATGGCGATCGTCGCCGTATCTTTCTTCAGTGTCTAGCACTTTATTCCATCTGCAATTGAGCGTTTCCTGTGCGGCCTTTAGCCGTTGCTTCTGCTTCTTTAGACTTCTTGCGGTGGCCATAAGCTTTTTGTGGAGGTTATCTCGTTCCACGCGTGTTTCCGGGATGATGAATGCGTCGTCATTTGGACTTTGTTCTTGTCCTGGGGCAGTTTGATGAACCCGTCGCTCGGGATCATTGTGATCGGGCATCTACTCCAAACTGTGTTCGGCATGACCTGGCTCGTCCTGCTCCATCGTTGGGTCTGTATGGTCATTGTTGCCTTTGGAGTTGACTGGGTGTCGATCTTTCTGGAGCTCTTGTCGTTATTTTTACTGTTGCTGGACTTTGAGCGGCATCTGCGCCGTCGTTTTGGCTTTTGCCCGGGGGTTTTATCTTTCGGATCGTCGCCGTTGTCCTCCTTGGGCATGTCCACCATATATATATCATGTGACGAGGTAGTAGTCCAGCGCCCCAGAGATTCTGAATCTTCTCCTGCATCGTCATCCATACCGTCGATTCCTTCAGAGTCGAAGTCAAGCACGTCGGTTAAATCATCGATCCTGGCAATAAAGTGGGTGGTGGGTGGGCAGCAAATTCCTTCGTCGCCGGCTTCCCACTCGAGCCGGACATAGTTCAGCCAAGAGCCTCCTAACAAAGAGAGAGACTTTAATGAGTTCAGCATGTCACCAAAGGGCGAGTGCTGCAAGATATCCGCAGCGGTAAACTCCATTACTGGAGCCCAACCAGGCTCGGCGGGATCGGGAGCGCGCGGACTGGAACCTACAACCAGATATGAGTCCGGGGGTCCGGAGTCACATGCTTCCTTAGAAGTGAGGCCTGTGTTCGGCTCTACCACCGATGAGTGTGCGGCCTGCGGGGCGGGGTCCATCCATCCGTCCTTGGGCCACGCAGTCTGCTCCGGATTTAGGTCCGGGACTACTGCAGGGGTAATATCCCGAGCACTGTCTGACAGCGGGTCTAAGCCGTGCTCGTCGTGACTGTCCGGCGCTCCTGGCTCAGGCCT